TAGTAGTATAGTTGTAACACGAATGGGTCGGCTCGACCGGGGAAGAACCACGCAATAGTAGCTTAATGCTGCTATGTTTCGTATGGTGAGTGGTAGAGATCCGGAGACCCTTTTTACTGGAAACGGGGCATTCCATCTTACTCCTCACAGGTGACAACTCATCTGCATTTTGATTCGTAATCGAGGATGGATGTCTACATCTATGCTATGTCTATGGGTCACAGTAACCACTTAACATCAGGTGGACTGTGTTCTAGTTTGTCACCTATCCTATTAAAAAAAAAAGCAACGAGTTGCAGCGCTAAGGGCTAAAGGTCAGCTCACACCGAAATATGACGCAACGAGAAGCGGCGAATACTTTTTAAGATAGTAATACAAAATATAACTTTATTTACTTCACAAAAAGATGTATTTTTATTGAGATAATCCTAAAAAGCCCGTGGCGTCACGACACGCCGCGCCTCGCTGCCTGCACCTCGAGATGCCTCGCGGCGCATCAATGCTTCGTCGGTAGCCGCAGTGTGCAAGTGCCGTGAGCTGCTAGCGACTTCACGATGCTACGCAACGTTGCGATGCGCGCTGCGCGGTTCGAAATCACTGGCCTCTTCAAGCATCGTCGCGTGTGAACTGACTCTAATGAACGACACTCGCGGTCGGTTCAACTAATCATTTCAACTGATCAATTCAAACTAGGACTGTTGATATTTTTTATAATATCCGGTTTTCGATATATCGATAAATAAGCTTATATATAAAACTCAGATATTGATATATTTATAATTATGGATATATCTAAAATCCGATATTTTAAAAAATATCAACAGACCTAGTTTAAACGGCTCAGTTGGAATATCGGTTGAACGAGTGTGTAACGTCCATAAGGGTTCGAATCACGTACGCAACAAGTATTTGTATGGACTATTCCGGGTCTGGATGTTTCTCGTTGCGAAATTTATATAAACTACCCCACCATATAGGAGAAAACCCTAGTGTGAAGATAAATATTTTAAAAGAATAAAAAATAAATAAAGAATATTTGGCAACCCCAGTAGAAGCGTAGCCATATCCGGTATTTTAGTGATAGAACGGCGGATACAAACGTTGACATAAATAAGCACAATTATCGTTATTGGCAGGATGAGAATCCTAAACATTGAAGTACGTTACAATCGTAAAAAAGAAATAAACAAAAGAAAAAATAAAGCAGTCAGTCCACAAACAAGAATTGTTACGACATAGTCAAATTCATTTATACGATGTAGAGCCGCTGCGGTGGCTATATTATGTTTGCAGCAGGAATATGTCGGCTCGACCGGGTAGGGACCACGCTCTCACAGAATTATTATTTCGCATATATGTTTCACATGGTGAGTGTAGAGAACCGGATACCCTTTTAACTGGAAAGGAGGCATTCTGTTTTAGACCTCAAGGAGACAACGCATCTTCATTTTGCGTATAAAAAATGTTGTAACACGTTTTTAAAACGGACTTAAGCTTCTACTTCTTTTTTTTTTCATATTCTTACATTCTCAGAACGTAGCTCGATTCTGAACTACGTTACTACTATCAACTACCTAAATTATGTATATTCGATAACTTTTTTTAAGGCAAAGATAACCTAATAGATAAAGCATTGCAAATTTATATCAACGTGCGTATCTCTATTAGATTTGTTAGTTGTATCATTTGTTATCATGACTTTTTTTTAATTCTAATGCCATAACATTGTAAAACAACGTGACTTCATAGATTTATGATAAGAATAAAGTGTTGACAAGCGTGCGGATTATTGTGATAGGCCGATCGCTGGGTCTGGAATCTTCTGTTATTATTTAATAGATGCGTATTTTCATATTTTCATTGATCACAGCCCCCCCCCCCCCCCCCCTAAGGATTGCCACAAAGCATGGTCCTGAGCCACCTGCATTCATCGATTTCCTGCATGTCTTACCAGGTCGTCACTCCATCAGGAGGGTCGCCCTTCCCTTCATTTTATTTTAATACTTCATTTAAAATACCAAGAATTTTTTTTATGGGGCTATCGTAACATCCGTTCTCAACGAGCGTATATATTACGAAATGAGTAACTATACTAAATTTCAAGTGAAACGGGTGTATAGTTTTAGAAATCTCGTGATGAATCAGTCAGTCAGCAATATTTCGCTTATATATACATAGATATGGATTTTCCCCTGGGATGGATTTATGATTTCCTTAATATAAATAGATACACCATTATTTTAGTTCCTTTGAATTAAATCTCTCAAAAATTAAGCAATTTATTTTATAAAGTATCATCATTACAGCCCTTCACAAGTCCACTGCTGAACATAGGCCTCCCCCGAGTAATGCCGCAAAGCATGGTCCTGAGCCACCTGCATCCATCGACTCCTGCATGTCTTACCAGGCGGTCACTCCATCTAGTGGGAGATCATCCTACACTACGCCTACCGGTACGAGGCTGCCACTCGAGAATCTTTCTTCTCCATCGGTTATCAATTCCTCGAGCTATATGGCCGGCCCATTGCCACTTCAGCTTACTAATCCGTTGGGCTATGTCGGTCACTCTGGTTTTACTGCGGATATCCTCGTTTCTGAGTCTATCACGCAGAGAAACTCCGAGCATAGCCCTCTCCATAGCTCGCTGAGCGACGTTGAGCGTTATAAAGTATATACACCTATAATTATCTTATCTCTCTCATACCAGCGTAAATTAGCAGCATAGTGCTGCTGTGTTTCGTATGGGGAGTGTAGAGAACCGCAGACCGTTTTTACTGGAAACGAGGCATTCCATCCTATTAGTCCTCACAGGTGACAACGCATCTGCATTTTGATATAAAACAAGGGTCTCTGGATCACTGCACTCACCATACGAGACACAACAGCATTAAGCTGCTATTTTACGCTGGTATTCTGTAAGAGCGTGGTCCTGCCCGGGTCATGTCGATCCATTCGTGCGACATCCATAATATAGCTGCAGCGTGGCTCTGACAAGTATAAAGAATGTCCCTTATTTTGCCTTTTTAAAATTGCAATTAATGATTTCATTGATGCTGCTCTAGGTGATATCAACTTGGTATCATTTATTTTATGGTTCGTACTAGAGATGGACAACAAGGCCGAATATTCGGCTAAATCACCGAATATTCGTCATAGTGTCCAATTTATTGAAATTTACGAATTGCGGAAAGTAAGAGGAGGAAAAAAAACAAAGAAACACTACATTACATTAGTACATTTCACTTTACTTTGGTCGTCAGTTTCTCCAAAATAAGTCCAAATAGTAAATCTCTTGCCGCTCATTTTTATCATATAATTATCAATTTTCACTAAGAATAAAACAACGAAATATTTAAAAAATAAAAATACAATGATGTGTATTACCTGGATTGAAGAGCTCTTCAATCCAGGTAATACACATCATTGTATTTGTTTAGCGGAAGGTTGCGAAGAAATTTATATTTTTATTTTTTTGTTATAATGGATTTCCGCAAAGTAACGCATGATTCTATCAATTAACAAAATCCTTTTTTATCACAAGAATAGTCAAAACATAAGCATGTGCCGGCAATTTGCTCAGTACTAGATGATGCAATAACATGTCAGGTGTGGCGGGGAGCGAGGGGCAGGGTCCTGCGCTAATCCCGCGCCCTTTACGGTAACAAGTTTCGACATAAATTGGTTGAGTCCCGAGGTTATCCTGCCGAATAATGTTCGCCCGAATATTCGGTTCGGTAAAAATTTTACCGAACATTCGGCCGAATATTCGTATTCGGTGAAATCCATATTCGGCCCATCCCTAGTTCGTACACACATAACACGCCTATATTTTTTTAATTGATCTCCACACTGAGATTTACTCTTGTATCGTGGGGGCACTTAACATAAATAAATTTCACAAGGACATACATAGAGACTCGGAACAAATATTTTTAGGAAATACCAAATACTTGTTCCGTGTGAGATTCGAACCCGCGGTCCAGTGCCGCACCTTTTTGCTAAACTTAACATCATTTAAAGCTTAGCATTTAAAAAAAACATATGTACCTTATTTATCTTATACTTAAAAAGTAAAGTAAAGTACAGCCTATATACGTCCCACTGCTGGGCACAGGCCTTACCTCATTTCTGAAAGCGATTTAGGGCAAGGAAATGTCCGCCGTGCTGCCCCAATGCGTGTTGGCGAACTTCAAATGTCTTCGAAATATTTTTTTCTTATTCCTCAGATATGCAGGTTTCCTCATGATGTTTTCCTTCGCCGCCGAGCACGTGGTAAATCAGCAGTTAAAATTGCAATTAACAATTTCATTAGTGCCGGCGGGGATCGAACCCGAGTTACCCGCGCCGCGTTCTGTTATATTTACAGCGAGCGTTAACCATCTGAGCTACCGTGGCTCATCTACTTATCTGTTCTACTTATCTTTTACTTATAAATGTTTATTATTAAATCACTTTTATTATTATTTTATTTCGACCGAGATAATAGTAAACAGACTACACTTATAACCGACTCTAATAAGGCGGCGGTATTCAATTCGACTGTTTGTTTTTTGTGTGTGTTACCTCAGAACTTTTTTGTACGTGAACCGATTTCGATTATTCTTTTCTTTATTTGACAGCTGGTGCTTCTCGTGTGGTCCCATAAATTGGATCAAGATCTGACCAATAGTTTATGAGTTACCCTTAATAATTCGTATTGTTATTCGTCGTATTATAATTATTTATATTGGAGTCGGTTGTACAAAATTTTTATTTTATTATGTACTTATTACGCCGAATTAAACTACATAGAGGGAACTTCAGCTCCAACATCTGAAGATGTCTCTAGCAATTTGCAACATCAACGAGCATGCCGTACCGCTTCTACTTAGAGATCTGGCTGTGGAACCGCGGCAGGTTTGAGCTATGAAGCTCTATCAGGGTCTGGCTATGAAACCGCCTCAAGATTGGCTATGAAGCAACTTCGGGGTCTGGCTTTGTAATCGCCTCAGGCTTTGGTTATGAAGTTGCTTCGGGGTCTGGCTATGGAACTGCCTCAGGCTCTGGTTATGAAGCTGTTTCACGGTCTGGTTATGATACCGCCTCTGGACCTGTCTATGAAGCTGCTTCAGGGTCTGGTTATGAAACCGCCTCGGGCCCTGGCTATGAAGCGGTTTCACGGTCTGGTTATGGTACCGCCTCTGGACCTGGCTATGAAGCTGCTTCAGGGTCTGGTTATGAAACCGCCTCGGGTCCTGGCTATGAAGCTGCTTCAGGGTCTGGCTGCAAAATTGCAGTTTCTGAATACGAAACTAATTTAAACTAGTAGGTACTCTAAATTAAGTAAAAACAAATAAAGATTCAGGGATTATCAGTGAGAAGATTTATGAGTGCAAAAACTTTAAAATCGTTATTATGTGTCTACAATACATGATTGTACTTGGCAAAAAATATTGTTCTTTTAATTTAATAAAAGAAGAAAAAATAAAATTTATACAATCATTTAACTATTCGCCTCAAACACTATGATAATCTTTGATCGGCTTCAATGGGGTTGCGAAAATTGGTCCTCTGTATTTCGATATATAAAAGTAAAGTAAAGTTACAGCCTATATACGTCCCACTGCTGGGCACAGGCCTCCCTTCATTTCTGAGGGGGTTTTAGGGCAAGGAAGTGTCCGCCGCGCTGTCCCAATGCGTGTTGGCGAACTTCACATGTCTTCGAAATATTTTTTTTCTTATTCCTCAGACATGCAGGTTTCCTCACGATGTTTTCCTTCACCGCCGAGCACGTGGTAAATCAGCACTTAAAATTGCAATTAACAATTTCATGTGTGCCGGCGGGGCTCGAACCCGGGTTACTCGCGTTCTGTTATATTTACTGCGAGCGTTGACCATCTGAGCTACCACGGCTGTTGATATATCATCGTCATCATCATTACAGCCCTTCACAAGTCCACTGCTGAACATAGGCCTCCCCCAAGTAATGCCACAAAGCACGGTCCTGAGCCACCTGCATCCATCGACTTCCTGCATATCTTACCAGGTCGTCACTCCATCTAGTGGGGGGTCGCCCTACCGAGAACCTTTCTTCCCCATCGGTTATCGGTTCTTCGAGCTATATGGCCGGCCCATTGCCACTTCAGCTTACTAATCCGTTGGTCTATGTCGGTCACTCTGGTTTTACTGCGGATATCCTCATTTCTGAGTCTATCACGCAGAGAAACTCCGAGCATAGCCCTCTCCATAGCTCGCTGAGCGACCTTGAGCGTCCTCATACGGCCAGCAGTGAAGGACCACGTCTCTGATCCGTAAGTCATCACTGGCAACACGCACTGGTTGTACAATCTAGTTTTTAGAGATTGAGGTATACCTGACGAGAAGATGTGTCGTAATTTCCCGAACGCTGCCCAGCCGAGTTGAATCCGTCGATTGACCTCTCGGTCGAAGTTGGACTTATCTATTCGGACTATTTGTCCTAGGTAAACGTACTCGTCAGCAACTTCGAACATAGTGCTCCCAACAACTACCGGCATAGGTGTGACATGGACATTAAACATGATCTTTGTTTTGTCCATGTTCATCTTAAGACCTATCCGTTGGGAGACACCATTGAGGTCATTGAGCATAGTGTTAAGGTCCTCTAGCGATTCTGCAGAAGATTTGCCGAAGGGTATGTATGTGGTCTATGGTACTGAAGCCTTTTCGGAAACAGGCTTGTTCGGGAGGCTGGAAGTCGTCGAGTCTGCGTGCGAGACGATTCGTAATGACTCTCGAAAACAGCACGTAGACGCGGCTCAGAAGGGAAATCGGTCTGTAGTTCTTCAAGAGAGCGTTGTCGCATTTCTTAAAGAACAAGACCACCGCACTTCTGCTCCACGCCTCTGGAGTAGTGCCACCATGGAGGACGGAATTGAAGAGCTTCTGAAGGACTTCAAGTACCGGTGTTCCACCCGCTCTCAGAAGCTCCGCTGTAATTTCATCCTCGCCTGGGGCCCTGCCGTTTTTAAGGTGCTGGAGAGCCATTCTAAACTCGCTTAGACTGACGTCCGGGATATCATCGGAATAGTGTCGGATAAGACTTGCTCTTGGATCGTTACTCACACTTGCGTGTGGCTCCAACGATGATGTGTACAGCTGCCCATAGAACCTCTCAATCTCACTCAAAATCTCAGGTGTCCCGGAAACGATGCTGCCACACTCAGTCTTCATCTTTGACAGTTGGCTCTTACTGGCAGACAGATCTCTGGCAAAGACTTTGGAGCCCTGTTTCCGCTCGATCGCTTCTTTAATACGAGCAGTATTAAAGTTGCGTAAGTCTCGCCGCTTGCATTTGGAGATCTGTCTGTTCGGTTGCCTGAATGCTGTTAAATCTGTTGACGATTGCAGCCTCATCTCCCGTCTAACAGCCATGAGATTAAGAGTGTGATCGGAGAGTTTTTGTGTTCTTCTGCGGCGGGTCTTGCAGAACTTAGCTCCGACCGCATGGACAGTTTCCACGAGCTTGTCATTCATATCGTCCACTGCATTGCAATCTTGTAGGCACTGAAAGCGGTTACGTAACTCGAGCTGAAAGTTTTCGGGATTCTGGATTAGAGCACGAGGGGGACGGAGCGTTGACTTCATTAGACGAGACCTCTCCAACTTAACGTTTAGGTTCAGTGTGCCTCTAACCATTCGGTGATCGCTGCCAGTTTTCACCCTTGCGATCACTGAGACATCGCTGAACAGTTGGCGTATGGTCGTCATAATGAAGTCAATCTCATTTTTTGTCGAACCGTCGGGGCTCGACCAGGTCCACTTCCTGTGGGGCCGCTTCTGGAAGAAAGAGTTGATCATAAAGATTCCCTCCTTCTCCATAAAGTCGGCCAGCTGCTGGCCCCCTTCGGTTCCGTTGCCCTACTCCAAATTTCCCTAACTTCAGCCCACCGTTTCCTCTTGTGCCTAGTTTTGCGTTGAAGTCTCCCATCAACACCGTGTAGTGGCTTTTGGAGAAATGCATGGCTTTGGAAATATCATCCTCCTCATCGGGATGTGCCGAGGTTGGTGCGTAAACCTGTATGACCTTCAGCGAATACCGTTTGGTGACTCTGAGTATCAGGTACGCGACCCTCGTCGACACACTCCCAATCTTTATAACGTTGTTGACGAGAGACTTGTGGACGATAAATCTGACACCTCCTTGGGACAGATGGTCTCCCTCCCGGTGATAGAACAAGTTGCCGGATTCGAGAATCACCGTGTCCTCCCCCTCTCTTCGGACCTCGGATAATCCTATAATATTCCAGCGCAACTTGTCTATCTCTTCTTCCAGCTCCAGGATCTTCTCGTCAGTCCTCAGGGTGCGTGTGTTAAATGTTGCCAGGTCGAGTCGTCGTAAGTGGCAACCGAACCTCCACCGGAGATTCTTAGCACCCCCTGCCCCGCCGTTCCCATGGTCGCCACCGTAGCCAGGAATAGCGGGGCCGCCGGGGACTGAGGGTATATTGCCATAGTTTTTTTTTGTCGTACAGTTGCTGTTATCAGGAAGATGCTGCTGCCCATCTCCTGCCTGTCTCCCTCTGTCGCCTTTTACGACACCCACGGGAAGATATTGATATATGGTCGACATATATTCAACAGTGGTTGAAATTTCTTACAATCCATTCTATGATAGTCATAAAATTTTTGCACGTCGTATTTTAAGTCATTAAATAAATGATTGAATTGACCGTTTGGTTCCCTTTCTTTTCGTACATTATCGACCCAACATCTCCTTCTATCCCCAACACTAGCCTGTGACCTTCACCTGCAACAATCGACACCAGCACCAAATCCCAGCATTTTAAAACTGAGCCCCACCAACACTCGATCAAACGCAGCTGAAGACTAAAGTGTATCAGGCAGCACGAGTCGCTGACGCGTGCTTTGTCAGCACTTGCAACTGCACAAGCAACAAGTGCTGGAATGCCGCCGTATCTAAGCGGCCAGTGTGCGCTGACTCATGGCAAAATCCCTTGCCATGCCGTCCAGGTCTGCGTAGGCCCTTTATAGTCATCCTTATTCTATAAAATAACAATAAAACGATAAACATCATTATTGTTAACAAAACAATTGATAACATTTAAAGAGAAACAAAATAAGTGGAATGGTTCAAACCATTTCCTTTATTTTGTCGTATTTTAAAGTGACAATTAAAAATTTCAGACATTTAGGGTCTATAATACTTACAATATTCGCCTATGTAAACATTTCTGATTTAAAAAGTATCTCCAAGAATCGTACGTATCATAAGAATCGTTTTTACGATGTAGAGCCACGCTTCAAATATATTATGGTGGTGGCACAAATGGGTCAGTTCTAACAGAGAGGACCAGAATACCACCGTGAAATAGGTAAATTTAAAACACTTTATGGTATGCCAAAAATATATAAATATGAACAAAAAGAGGAGAACATAGAAATGTGGTAGAATTAGGGTTGCCATCTTTTTTTGAACAAATATAATATTTTTTCCAAAAATGATGCTTACATATAATACTTTTGAGAAATTCCGGAAAAAAATATGATCAATACAAATATGAATGTATTTTCCATATCTTACTTTTAAAATATTAAGAGGAGCAATTTAGATTCATATTAAAATAAATAAAAAAAATTTAATTACAATAATATATGCTCGGTTTCTTCCTTCTTTCAATTTTGCAATTATGATAAAAAAGTCCGTAAAACATATTTGTTCCAGACTTGTAATCACAGGTAATATAAAAAGGCGACAGTTAAGTTAGTTAAGGGATAAAAATACACTTAGTATTTTTCGAACTATATTATTTTTCTATGTACAATTAACTGATGTGTAGTACAATACTGTATATTATAATACGTGTGGCAACCCATTGGTACAATGAGGGGTCTTATCCCTAAATCGATCTATTCCAAAAAACCTTTGTATGGACAGGATTGTTGAAAACAATAAAACATGCGTAATTTGGCGACAACAATAACATTATTTTTGTCGTAAACCATGAAATAGTTTTATAAATGAATAATATAAAATGTCAATACATAGATAAGTTAAATACATTATGGATCGAGCCAATGACCCATTAGGGATACCAACCAATGAGCCACATGGGCTTCATTAACGTTAACAAAACATAATTATATCAATTAGTGTACTATCACGTACGTACAGGAAACGTTTGCGACACAATTGCATGATAAGGCCCACTATACGTCGTTTTAGGGTTCCACATTTGATTTCTTATATTTACGCGAACGCTACACATCTAAATGATACTAATTTTTGATTTTATCGCGTTTAGTAACTTATATTCTTGAC